ACTCTGAACATCCTGAAATTTAACTGCCTTGAAAAAACAGTAATGAGCAGCATATTTCATTTTATTTTTATGTTAATTTATTGGTATGACATGTACTATCAGTTCTACTGATAGTAGAACATTCCAAACAAGCAATTAAACTTAGATCTGTGTAATTTGATCTGTAGCTTTCCAGATATTAGTTTAGATAGAAAAGAATTTTTAAAAATATTTTAACTTAATTTTCACTCAAAATGCTCACCTAGTCTATCATTTGGGATCTACTTTATGCTTTAATATCAGTATTGCAGTGTCTTAATTATGGATCTGAGGGATTACATTGATTTGTAATTTAATCTAGTATCATCACCCATGTAAAGCAAATCTCCTGTGTTGAAAGGTCATTCAAAAACTTGGAATTGTTTTTAAGAGTATACTTACCTTGAGAAGCACTGAATAATACATGTAACTGTTGAATGACTGTATTGTACACCTGAAATGAATAGAACACTATTAACCACACTGAAATTAAAATTTTAAAAGTCTAGTGAGACAAAAGAAAAATATTTTAAAAATAGGAATCATTTCTAAATTTTTTTTATTCTGGAATTTATGATATTTTATGCACAGATATCACCACTCAAAATTTTTAATGTCTACTTTGGGTTATTTTTCAATAATCCTGACTCATTTATTTATTCAGCAAATATCTGTTGAATGCCTACTGTTCACTAGGCTCTTGGGATATAGTGGTAAGTTTAGAAGTTTAAAAAATACACATGATGCCTAGGCTTTAATATATATATTAACAATACATATTAATATATACATATATTTAATAGTTTATTTCACTTGGATTGAATGTTAATTTTTGAAAACGCCTAAAGTTTCTACCAAGAATATAATGGATTGGGAAAATTTTTGAAATTATTTCGATTTTCAATTTCTTCTTAGAACATGACATATTACTGGGCGCCTGGAAGGCTCAGTCGTTAAGCATCTGCCTTTGGCTCAGGTCATGATCCCAGGGTTGTGGGATCAAGCCCCGCATCAGGCTCCCTGCTCCACAGAAAGCCTGCTTCTCCCTCTCCCACTCCCCCTGCTTGTGTTCCCTCTCTCGCTGTCTCTTTCTGTCAAAATAAATAAATAAAATCTTTAAAAAAAAAAAAGATTACATATTACTGTACAGTAAATTATTATAAAATGCAAAAAAAGTGTAAGTGAACCCGAAGACAGATTTTTTATTTGTCACTATTTGGGTAGAAATCATCTTGATAACAGTTTTCAAATGAATAGTGAAATAAAGTTCACAGACTAGTATCTGGTACCTTCATTTATATTTAAGATACAATTTTAAAAATGTGGCCATCCCCTTTTCTTTCTCTTCCTTGGTGTACCCTGTTTTCCTGGATTTCATCTTATTTTTCTTTCCTCTGTAACTGAATCAGGAATTCTCCCTTTGGAGGTGACTGAGTGTGGTCCTGAGAGCTGACCCCAGGCCGCTGATCAGTAATTCAGTTTTAACTTTTATTTTGTATTGAAAAAAAAAAAAAAAATGAGCAGAGAGCTGCATATGCTCCCATTTGAGATCTTCAGTGGAAAAACTGCGAATTTAGTCTGGCTGCCCTGGGGAGGTGGTGAGACTGCTGGAAAAAAAGAAAATGTAGCCCCTTGGGATCTTCCAACAAGTGTAGCCACTGTACAACCTGCCTTATTGCTGAGTTTCAGTTCCCACTGAGAAGTTCCAACAAGAGTGGTTCCTATTTTGACTTTTTCCCCCGATGGAAAGTATTAGACACTAGCTAAGTAGGCCAAAAAGAATGAAAAGCCTGAATAGAAAAGATGGTAGAGGAAGTGAGTCAGTAAGGGAAACTTAAGAGAGAAGAAGGGAAAGAAAATTTCCAAGTTGATAAGAAAACATGGGCTCCAGGCAACAAAGGATAGCAAATTTTTGGCTAAGGCCATTGCTTCATCTCTCCCAGGTTTGCAAGTTTCTGGCCCACCTTGCCTCTCCTCCTGCCTATTGCAGCTGCTCTCCTCCTTCCACACTCCATTCTTAAGTCTCCTTTCAACACACTTCCCCCTATACAGAAGGCTTCAGTGGCCACCTGCTAATTCTTCAATAAAACACAAATTCCTCGCTTAGTAAATCAGTGCTGGCCACAATCTAGAGCTCCCTGTCTGACCTTATCCCTCACTCCTGTTTTTCATGTTCCCTTTTCCCCAGCCATTCCAGACTGTTAACTTTGCCCCCAAGCATACCTTCTGGCTTTCACATCTCACCTTGTCCCTTAGGCCCAGAAAAGAACCACCATCTTTGCCAGTCGAAATCTGTGGTAACTCTGAGCCCCAACTGCTTCATGAAGCTCTTCTGATCACCGCAGCCCAGAACAAGCCGTCCTTTCTCGAGACTCCTGTACCATGTCGTACCTCTCCTAAAGCCTCTTGTTATTTATTTGTGCATGCTTTATTTTCCCCATAAGATCGTAAGCTCCTTGCAGGACAAAAGACACAGTTCTTCCTCCTTACTTCCTCCATAGTGGCTAGCATATCAGCTTCTTATAGTAACTGAGTAAGAAAATATATCGGAGGAATGATAGAAAGAAATCGCATTAGGATCAAGTAGTCTAACGAGTTTCACATTTTTATGCCTGGTTTTGTAGTCCCTTCAGTATAGAAAGAGAAGTAGCTATATGAGTATTTGTTTTAAATGGAGACTGTTCAGTACCTGGAGCCGTGAAATTTAGTCATTTGGTTCAACAGAACAGACCTCCCCCACTCGGTGGATGTCCGTGAGTATCTGCACTGCTGTCTAATGCCTGAAGCAGACCTATCATGGGAAGGACGACTGAAGGAGTGCTGGGCCTTCTCAGGTCCTTTTTGTAGGTTTTCTCTCTTAGGAATGCAATTCCTTCCCTAATAAATGATATATATCTAATAGTGATTTAGATGCTTTGAACAGTGGACCAAGCATTACAAATATTCTACTAGGGATGCATGTGGGGAGAAGTGTGATGTTTTTCTCCCACCTAACTTTTCTGTGTGAACTAAATCCAAACGTATCTGGATTTTCGTAATTCAAAGAAAATCTCTACACCAGCATTTTGAGAACACGTAGCTGCCAAGCGAAACCCAACAGCATATATTCCTTGGTGACATTCAGTCGGTTGAAGCTGTGTGCATGCAGAGGGAGCAGCTACATAAAACTGAGCTCGTATGCAAATGTGAACACTCCTCAATTCCAATTACACTGTGTATATTAAACCTTTCTTTAGAGGCTGTGGAATTTTCAGGAAAAATACAGCCAAGCTTGACCTTAAGTACCTTGCCTCATTATTTTTTTGTCATTTCCAGCTACTAGTCTCTCCAAAGAAAACAACTTTCTTGTTTCTTTTAGTTTTGTGTGTGCCCTGAGCTTTATTCCCAGTTGCTGCTACAAAAAACTGAAAGGGTTCCAAACACCACTATTGTTTTTCTTTTTTTTCTCTGTAACTAATATTTAAAGATCAAAGATAACTCCAGTACTTTTATGTTGTAGAGTGTATATAAGACCAGTTTTTCCCTAAAGGTATTTGCTGTCCAGGATTTTTTTCTTTCTTTTCTTTTTTCTTTTCTTTTCTTTTCTTTTCTTTTCTCTTTCTTTCTTTTTTCTTTTTTTTCCCCCTGTTAGCTTTCTTTTCTAGAAGTAGCTGAATGGTAGCTTTTTGATTTCACAGGGTCACTGGCAGTTGAATGGATAAAGAACTGGAGTGGGGCCATATGAAAAGCAGGGAGATGAGTTAGGAGGTTTTTAAAAAATATTTTATTATGGTATTTTCAAACAAACAAACAAAAAGCGCTCCCTTAACTTTCCACCAAAATCATATTGTGATGACTAGTGACCTTGGGAAATGTTTTAATTTAGGCACTTTCTAAAGGCTCCTTCTAATGCTAAAGCTGAAAAATAATCTTTCCGTCAAAAGGCTTTCATTATTATGACAGTTCCCATGTAAATTCTTAATGTATCTATTGTAAGGGCCTATTATAGTTCTTATACAGTGTTTTTATAGTTTTATTCATTCTGTTAACTGGGAAAATGTTTCATATGAACAGCCTTTGGTTCATTCTTTTAAAAAATTATATATGATATGAAGGAAAATAGTGAGTTTGTATATTATATAAATGTTTTTCCTAAAATGTCAGTTTTATTTTCTTATTCTTAGTGATTGGGTAGAACACTGTTTATTTTCATTTAAATATGTATCCTAAAGAAGCAGTTATTATTATGTTGTTTTGGAATACTTGTTCAGTTAAGCAGATTTTCTTCGCTGCATTTAGGAAGTAGGAGTGGAAATAGAAAATATATGATGATCATGAAAGAAATATAAATATTACAAGTGGCAATACTGTGTGAATAAATATGAATGTGAATCAGGAGACTCGTTTGGTAAACGTTACAATAAATACATGGCTAGCAAAAAATAGAACAAAGACATTTTTTCATATATTCAAAATGTTGAAGATAGTTTTAATATATGTGATCTCATAAAGAGAGTATATTGAATGAACTACATCCTCGAATTGCTATTTTGTTCCTTATCAAAAGAAAAAAATAAGGAATGGCAACTTAGGGTCAAAAATAATGCCACAAATGAAATTTTGCTTTGCTGTTTAGCCATAAGAAGGAATAAACTGCCAGCCAAGACCAATGTTCTTTGATCTCACATTTCAACCTTCTTGTCCTCCAGATGAATGAAATGGTCTTTTCTCAAATGTTCAACAGGCCTTTTACCATTTGATAGGACAGTTATTTTTAAGAAGGTTTAAAATGTGATCTGGAAAACCACATTGACTCTCTGTGGCATATTTGCTATTCTTAGCCTGGTTGAATAAGCTGGAAGTGGATGAATAATGCAGGTCAGAAAGAAAACAGATGCTAAATATTACAAATAGGAAGGTTTTCCAGCAATGAGACTTTCATTTTAGGACTAGATGTTTGTTGGCACTTTTGGCATCATGACGATTATTGTCTTTCTCTCCAGCTGTTACACATCTGTATTGAAGGTTGGGGCAATTGGCGCTGGTCAGAGCCCTTCAGTGTGGACCATGCAGGGACGTTTATTAGAACTATTCAGTACAAGGGTCAGACTGCTTCCCTCGTCATCAAGGTTCGGCAACTCAGCGGCGTGCAAAAACAGGTGAGTTTCTTGTGTTCGTGACCCAGACAGCTCTTAATTCTTTCACGAAATTCATGGAAGCTGAACTGAAAGAAATGAAAATAATTAATAATTAAAAAACCCACAGTGGTATGCCTATGTGTGCTTACTGCTGCCCTGCACGTGAGCACTTCATACGTGCTTGTTGATGATCCTGAGGATGACGATGGCTTCAAACCCTTTGTCTCACATGTTTTACAAGAGCTGCTAACGAGCAGTAAAATTTACTGATTTTAGTTTCACCTCTTCTCCCTGTCACCACCTACCTTCTGGTAGAGGTGCTAATGAGCTGTGAAATAGCCAAAAGGCCTTTATTAAGAAGGAAAGAAGCCCTGGGTGTTGGGGACTCTGGATAATCCAACAGTGGATAACCAGGAGTTGGTTCTCATACGCGTAAGAGTAATCTTCGAGAAAGTGTTGTGATACCTCCCGTGACAAAGTGGGCCTGGGTCTCCAGCAAGCTTTCTTTTCCTAGGAGTTAATATTAACTGCAGTAAAAATTCACTACAGTCTAACTCTTGGCATATAAAACCTCAGCTCTCAGCACATATTTTTACGTATTTTATAAAACTTCCTTTTGGCTGTTTTTGAAGTTCTAAGACTGCAAAGGGGAAAAAAGTATCTGATACTTTTTTTGTGTTCTTAAGATGTGAAAATGTGGTTTTTAAAAGATGTTTTTCAAGCATGGCGCATATGACAAGAGTAGAAAGAAAAAAAGGAAGTATTAAAACCTGAAAACTGGCTTCACTGCACACATCATAACTGGATTTGTCATAAGAGTTTTAACATATACATCTGCGTCTGGATTGTAACAGTCTATCCAGAGCTTATGTGAACTGCGGACATGATAGAAACAGCCCTCAGTCCCTGGAAAAGGAAAAGGGGAGCTTTTCTTATCAAGCAACATGGCCAGTCCATTGCCATGTGCCAGTGGGCAGACCAGAAGCAAGTGGTGAGGTGAACAGTAGGACCTGTACCGAGTATGTTCTTGGTCTGCTCCTAATCAGGGAGCTAGACTTCATGTTCTCATTACTGTGGGCGACAGAAGTGAAAAGAATATAGCAGAAGAATCTTCCCAATGAACTGACTACTCCTCGAGTATTGATTGATTGCCTACAGTGGAACAGAGTGAAACAAAAGACACTAACCATGTGACACAGTCTTTGCTCTTAAGTTACAAATTTATATAAACCCAACAGTGTGTACAACTGACAGTAAGTGTGAAGGGAATTTAGAGGTTGCACTAAGAAGATATGACTCAAGTTGGGCTTTGGAAAACATGTAGAATTTGGATTAAGAGAGGACATTCCAAGTAGGCAGTGTAACATAACGATAGGAATATGGGACAAATGGGTCTTACTGGGACTCATGATGGGGCTAGCCTAGCTAAGCGTGAGCTTTGAGCTACAAAGTCTAAGAACAAGACGTGTCACTGACTTTCATCTGCCCTCAGAACTGTCTTTATTGGATATGCTCTCAATAAATATCTGCCCAATTAATACATTCTGGTTTTCTGATCCTGTCACTCGTGGTCTTTCAAGAATGCCTTATCCACCTTCCCAGTCACCAGCATTCCTGAGAAATGGTCATTCAGCATCCATTTGAATACTCCAAATGATAAGAGGCTCATTTCCTCACACGGCAGCCCTTTCCATAATTGATGACTTCCAGCTCTAAATGAAGCTCTTTCCTAATTTTGAGCCCAAATCTCTCACCATTCAGCCAGTTTTTACCGTTCATCAGAACTTGTAAGATGTACGCAACAACTTATGGTGAGGACTAAGTTATCTCTCCTCTGTATTACAGCCCTTCAAAAACACAAGGGAGCTAGGATGTTTCCCCTTAGCTTCCTTTTCCTTAGACCAGTGGTTCTCAAACTTGCATGTACATCAGCATCGCCTAGAAGGCTTGTTAAAACACAGATTACTGGGTCCCACCCTCAGAGTTCCAGATTCAGGAGGTCTTGGATGTGACGTGAGAATTTGTATTTCTCACAAATTCTCAGGTGATACTGATGCTTCTGATCCAGGAGTCACACTTTGACCACCATGGCTCTGGTCTGAACTTTCCCAATTCATTCAGCTCTTTTGCATATGGTTGCTAGAACAATTAACAATTAATGGAATGGCAGGGTCACTCCATGGTGTGACATTGGTATGTCATTGGTGGTTAAGATCAGAGCCACTCTGGCTGTGTATCCGCTTGCTAGCTGTGTGATCTTCAGGTTATTTAACCTCTTTGTGAATCAATTTCCTCATCTGTCAAATGGGGATAGTAATAGTGCCTTTATCACAAAGTTAGTGTGAGAATTAAACGCGTTTGTATATGCAAAGTGCTTAACAATAGTGCCTGGCCCGCTCACTGTCATAACTCAAACTATAGTTACAATAATGAAAAATTCCCAGGCATGCATAACGTTGGTTGGACTTTCTTGTATTACGGTAGTGCGTTCTTCTAGGGCGCCTGGGTGGCTCAGTCGGCTAAGCATCTGACTTTGGCTCAGGTCATGATCTTGGGGTCCTGAGATGGAGCCCCACATCGGGTTCCCTGCTCCATGAGGGCCTGTTTCTCCCCCTTCCTCTTCCTCTGCCCCTCTTCCCATTTGCGCATGCACGCAGTCTCCTTCTCTCAACTAAATAAATAAAATCTTAAAAAAAAAAAAAAGACAAAAACAGTAGTGCCTCCTTCTTGCATAGATATTATGTATCTTCAAGGAATAATATGAAATTTCAGGGATAAATTAATGTATACTGTGTTCCTGAGCAGATACTATGCATTGCAACAGTGTACTCTTAGGTTAGAAAAGTTGGCCATGAAAAGTACCTTTTATAAAAATTCTCACAAAATGTTACTTACCTTTCTTTCCCCCGACTATAAGAGATTTCCTGGCCCTAATATTTATTGCCTAATATCTTAGGCAAATTTCTTAACCTTTCTGTGTGTCATACTCCTTTTACAAAAGAAAGCACCTAGTAAATATTAGTTCACTGTTGTTATTTTTATGTTAACTATTTAAAAATAGTTCTGAAAACACAGGAGTCTAAAGTAGAAAAGAAAATTACCCATATTTCTGCCATGCAAAGATAAATACTGTTACTACTTTGGTGTATTTTTTCTACTCTTTTTTTTTTTTTCTTCTGTGCAAATATTTTTTAACCAACCTGAGATCTGATTATAATTAGTTTTTCAACTTGTTTTTTTCACTTAACATTATATGATGCTTATCTTCTCATGTTATCTACAATTCCTAGACTATCTTTTTAATGGCTGCATAATAATTTGCCATATGGTATGTTGAAACACATTTAGACATCCCCTTGTTGCTGCACTTTTTAGATAATTTCCAATTTGTTGCCATAATAAATCCTTAAATAAATATCTGTGAGTATACATATGTATGTCTATGTCTGTCCTTAAAATAATTTGCTATAAAATTTAATTACCTGAGCAAAGGATGTGAATGTTTTTGTGGTACTTGATACATCTTCCCAGACTAAAAACATGTACTTTATTCTTTAACCAAAATTCATTGTTTTGTGTCACCAGATTCTTGTTAGGGCTACATTAATCCTTTAAATAACTAAATACATATATTTGTCCCAACCATCTGCTGACTCTCTGAGTTTTTCAAACTATTAGCATTTCTTAAAAACCTTAATGTAAAGAGGGGTTCAAATCAGACTAACAAAAAATTTTCCATACATTAGAAGTTTAAGGAATCCTTTTAATCATTCTCTCTGTTAATGTCAAATATTCAGATTTTAAGGCATCTGGTGACAAATCACATTTCAAGATATCCAAACGTTATTTGGATATTTAGTAATTATTTTCCATAGGGACTCCCTCTCACACTTGTCTCTGCTTGTATCCTATTGTAACAAATTATCTTATTAAAAAAAAAAAAAGAATGTAGCCAGACAGGAAGGGACTTTTTGGGAATCAATAATGGAAGCATAAGCCACCCTCCCATTGCATTTACCTTTCTGAAAGAAGTACCATCTTCTTCCACGGGAACTGGCAAAGTCCATTTTCCATTCCCACTGTCATGGAAAACACACACACACACACACAACTTATAACTTAGAGTTTGAGCATTTATTGTCATAGCCAAATGAGATTGGGCTCTAAATTAGGGCCATTTTAAACACTCAGCCGAGTAGTGAAAAGTAGAACACAGAAATAGCAATTCATTTTAACTTAGGAAGAAGCAAATGGAAAATGGTTTGTACTGAACCCACGTAATACTGAAAGGTTCAGCGGTCCACCAACTTCAAAACAACTGGTGCATATATCACAGTTGTGAAAAACCTTTCTAGTCTTCCAGTTGGATTTAATTGTTTTATTGTCAGGGTAGATTAACTAAAATTCAGATTAGCTCCAGTAGGAGTACATCAGAGACACAGGACTTCCTCAATTAGCCAGGGTGGGAAGGAAGATAGGAATCAAGGTTTCAGAAGAGCATTGTGGATTCCTGCCTCTCACATCTTGGCTTCTTTCCTTCTGCCCCACCTGGGCTGGGAAATTTGCAATAAACCACAGCTGCCTAATTTCCAAGCTCCATTTGGGGAGGTGAGTGTGTGCAGCTCCCTGATGTACCTTAAGTGCATTAACACGCCCCTGGATAATGGAGAATTGGCTAATGCACTCCTGAACAATGAGGTTTGGTTATTTGTACCCTGCCTTTCTTATACCTCTGCCATGGCCCCAACTGAATGAAAATGGGCCACATACAAAATTTCTCAGGAACTCTGTACAATATACAGCTACCCATGTACACACATTGACATCCATGTTTCCCATCCCCTCATTGAGGAAAGCTTTACCACTCTAAAAACGTAAATGTACATATGTATATATATTTGTATCTTTATACATACACTTTTAATCAGGGCTAAGGTATCATTTTCCAGTGCATCTGGTGCTCTGGAGTTATTCTTTAATATCGCTATTCTTCTTGGCACTGATCTAATAAGAGTTCTGAAACCTGCTAAGTAAAATCATATGTGGAAATCTTCAATACACATCTTTGTGGCTTTGGGGAAGGGAGAATTAGTGTGAAACCTGGAAATGTGTATTAAAGAGAAACCCTACATTAAAAAAAATTAAGTAGCTGTCTTCAACTGATAAATTAATCTTGAAATTCTAACCATAATTTTCAAAATAAAGGCATTGTAAGTGTTGCCACTTTGAAGAAAAGCAGACATGGCTCTCACTGAACTCTGCATGGGAGCAGCTATGAAGAACACCATTCCGAGGAGTAGCCATTTGGATTTTCCTTCATCTAAGTAGCCTTCTCTCCCTGGCCACTTTTAAGGGTTTTCTTTTTATCAAATTTGAAAGCCTATTTAACAGGCTTTATAGTTGAAAATGAAACTATAAAAACCCACCAAGAGGATCTTTGTCTTTAGACAAAGTGAGTCCCAGATGGTTGCAGAAATTCTGTGGTTTCTGAGAGACAGCAAAATTCTCTCCTAAATTTCATGGGGCCCAAAGGTTCTGAAGCAAGAGCAGTGTGCATACATTGCCAGACCTGCGCACATCAAGAGGAAGAACAGAATGAAACTGCCTCAGAGCTTTCACGTGTTTACTTAAAGTTAGACAATGCTAAGGCCTCGTAAGACTTACCCATGAGTGCTTAGTAACTCCTAGCATGTGCTGAAGGAAAGCTTGCCTGCTAACTCATGACTCATGGTTCAGTTGACTTCTGTGTTTGTTATTGAGAAAACATTGTTTTAAAAGATTATTGAAACAACAATGACATTTAATTTTTGGTCTATCAATGTAGCAGGTTTATAATGAACTAAATAATAGTTCATTCGTAAATAATCATATTTATTTGTATAAATAATAGTTGACTTATAGTGATGTTTACAAAGTTCTCTTAATCATATATGAAAATGTATCCAGGGGCGCCTGGGTGGCTCAGTCGTTGGGCATCTGCCTTCGGCTCAGGTCATGATCCCAGGGTCCTGGGATCGAGCCCCGCATCGGGCTCCCTGCTCGGCGGGAAGTCTGCTTCTCCCTCTCCCACTCCCCCTGCTTGTGTTCTCTCTCTCGCTGTGTCTCTCTGTCAAATAAATAAATAAAATCTTTAAAAAAAAAAAAAAAAGAAAATGCATCCATTAGGGTGTTTTAAGTTTGAAGTAACAAAATAGGCTTTTTAATCTTCACAGTAAGCGAATGAGATGTAGATGCTATTATTGTTCCTATGTTTACATTTATTATCTCATATAATAAGGAAGAAGGCAGGTTAGGTGTTGGTTAATTAAGCCACTCAGTGCTATATCTGCTTCTCTGCTAGCCTCTTGGATTTGCCTTTTTTGTCTCAAGATGGCCACAAAAGCTATATGTCTACATATATATCCTCTCATAACATCTTCCGTGACAGACAAGAAGCGGGACTTTCTCTTCTCAAATTGTCTCCCTTATCAAGGAGTAAAATCTTTAGCCTTTTAGCAGTCTTCCCTTTTCATATTATTAGCCAAACCGTGCCCCGTGTTCACCCCTCAAGTAATCACTGGCAAAAGGAGAATGGAATTACAAGGATTCGTTTGTGCCGATTACGACACAGACTCTGGGGGCCGTGAAGGTGTCCACGTGCCCTGGGTACTTTGCTGCGTTTTGAGACCTGAACCAAATCAGGGTTACTAATAACCAGGGAGAAGGAGGGACCACCTCTTTGGAATAGAACCAGTGGCATCTGCCGCATTTACATTATGATAGGCAGTCTTTATTCTCTTTTTTATGGTTTCTGGGTTTTCTTAATTGGTAGGTATTAATATTATGAAAGACAGACCTTCAGAATGATTATCAACACAGACTCCAGGCCAGAGAGTCTGGGTAACATCAGGCAAGTTATCCAACATCTCCATGCCTCCGTTTTTCCCTTGTTAAGATGACAAGTCCTAGTAGCACCTATTTTATATGGTTGCTGTGAGAATGAAAGAGTTAATTTGTAAAAATGCTTTGTAATAGGACGTGTGTGCATACGCTCATAACTATACGTGCGTACGTACATACATATGTATGCAGAGAAAGAGCGGGAGAGATTTATTTTAAATTACTTTAAACACAGTTGTGAAGGCTGAAACCCAGAAGAGCTTACATGTAGTTCCAGCCTGAAAGCCTGAAAGCCTGAAAGCCAGTAGGCTAAAGACCCACGAAAAGCTGATTTTTTTCAGTCCATGTCCAAAGGCCAGGAAAGACCGATGTCTCAGTTCAGTCAGGCAGGAGGAGTCCCTCTTACACAGGCTCTTTGTTCTATTCAGATCTTTAGTTGACAGGATGAGGCCCACCCACATTAGGGGAGGGCCCTCTGCTTTACTCAGTTTACCAATTCAAATATTAACCTCACCCAGAAGCACCCTCACAGACACACCCAGAATAACGCTTGACCGAGCATCTGTGCAGCCCGTGGCCCATACAGGTCGACACATACAATTAACCATCACATGCTTAGACCTTTAAATAAACCACATATATATGGGGGGGGGGTGTGATTACTGTTTTTATAATCTGGAGAAAAATATTATAAATAAGAATATCCAGTATGTGGAAGTCCTATGTTTTCCAGTCATGGTGAATATTTGTATTACAGAAGGATTCACTGCATAGGAATAAATTTTGCATTATCTTTTCAATTTCAACCAATTTAAGAGGTATTTCTTAATGCCTACTGTAAACTGTACTCTTAGCTGGATGAAAAATTGGGTGATCCCTGAGTTTTTGGATCATTCTGTGTGTTTTACAAAGCCACATGCTTCTACTCTATGAGAAAGCTTGAATAAAATAAACTATAATTAGGCAAAAGTTGTTTGTATTATCAGTTTATAAAGTGATCTCTTATTGCATAAGACTGCAAGATACCCTTGGAAGCCAGCCTTGGAAGTAGATAAATGGCCAGTTGGCCTCTCAGCCACCAGAGCAGAAGTCTTGTGCTCAGTCCCTGTCCTTTGTGACTGCTACATCATGTGACATCAGTGACTGCCACCTCCTGGTGGGTCTCTTCTCAGGGCTTCAGCTTTCCCTGGTTTACCTCCACGATCCTTTGCCTCTTCTTCCCGGGCCCCTTCCCTGGCTCTTTGCTCCGAGTCTGCCCCTGAACTGTTGGTCAGTTGCTGGTTTAAGCCTTCACCTCTTTTCCGAGTCAGCTATTTTCTGTCTGTGCACATTTGCAAGGCTTTCATTCCATAGGTCTGCTATCTCCAGCCTCACCTCACTCTCCAGCACCCACCCAGGCTGCGGACCCGGCATGTGCCTGTCCTTTGACTTCCATAAACTCAACATGACCAAAGCAAAATCCCTTTCTCCTCCCAAGCCTTTCTTCCTGTGTGCTCTAAATAAGCTCATGGCTTCATGTTCTTGCCATTAAAACCAACATAGTTAATTCTGTCTGAACAATTAACGTGTTACCAGGTCATGAAATCTGAATGGATGAAACTTTATTTGTTTATTATCTTTTAGATTATCATCTGTGGAAGACAGATCATCTGTAGTTACTTGTCTCAAAGCATAGAACTAAGAGTCGTTCAGCATTACATTGGTCAAGATGGACAAGCTGTGATTCGAGAACATTTTGACTGCCTCGCAGCCAAACAGAAATTGCCTTCATACATACTAGAAAACAGTGAACTGACAGAGTTGTGTGTGAAGGCCAAAGGAGATGAAGATTGGTCAAGAGACGTGTCCTTGGAATCTAAGTCCCCTGAGTATAGCATTGTCATTCAGGTATGAGAAGTAGGACAGTCTGGAATAGAGCAGTTTTAAAATTAAAAATTTCTCCTTGTGCTCTTTATTCAGTACAGCGCTTTATTTTAAAAAATGACCTGTACAAAAGAGGGAGATCTGAAATAAGATAAAAAAAAAAAACTTTGAATATTGCTTCTCAAACGGTTTTGTCCCATCCCACAACAACACAGCTGTTGTATCAGTTCCAGTAGTTTTTAGAGCCAAGATGCTACCCCTTTCAGGTGGAGGCAAGTTATATCTTGAGAAAAATCCTGATGCTCCAGGGCTTAGGGTGGGGGTGCAGGGGAGAGGGGTGGGAAGGGTGTGTCCTGCCCACTTGAGAATCTTTGCAACTGTCTGTTCCTTTTTTATCTCTTCCTCCCATTCCACCATCATCACTTTCCTTGCCATGAAAGACAAATCCTCCCCTCCATTCTCCCACCCAGTCTTGTGTCAGTCTCTCCTCATACAAATGCCTTTGTCTTTAAGCATTGGCCTTGGGGCGCCTGGGTGGCTCAGATGGTTGGGCATCTGCCTTCGGCTTGGGTCATGATCTCCAGGTCCTGGGATCAAGCCCCGAGTCGGGCTCCCTGCTCAGCAGGGAGTCTGCTTCTCCCTCTTCCTCTGCCTCTCCCCACTGCTCCTGCTCTCTCTCTCTCTCTGTATCTCTCTCTCTCTCTCTGTATCTCCCGGTCTCAAATGAATAAATAAAAAAAATCCTTAAGAAAACAAAAAGGAAAGCATTGGCCTCATTGACTCACTGCACATTCAGTTTATGCCATAATGAAGTCTGGTTTTGCTTATTCTCTGTTTTTAATGGCTTTTTTCTATAACTTTAAACTTTTTAATCCTCCAAACTGACATTATATGTGCGCCTCATTTTGATTAATTAGTAAACTGTTCAGTATTTAATAGAAGCCTTTTCTACCTCATGGCAGGTGCCATCTTCAAACAGTTCCATTTTTTATGTCTGGTGCACAGTTTTGACATTAGAACCCAACTCTCAAGTGCAACAACGAATGGTGAGTGCTTTCCAATCCTAAAATATGGTATATGACTCTGACCTTTCCTGTTCTGAAATAAATTAAGGTCAGAGTGACCCAGGGAAGAGATTTATTGCAAGTTTGTTTCAGCATCAAACAGCTGGGGTACTGCAACAAAGCAAATATGAAAGTTGTCTGTCCTTTTGTTTTTATAGATTGTGTTCAGCCCTCTTTTTATCATGAGGAGTCATCTTCCAGACCCCATTATCATACATTTGGAGAAAAGGAGTCTGGGATTGAGTGAAACACAAATTATTCCCGGAAAAGGACAGGAAAAACCACTGCAAAACATAGAACCTGACCTTGTGCATCACCTAACATTTCAAGCAAGGTACTGGAAAAGTCCTTACGTTTTCCTAAGAGAGATTCAGAAGAAAAGCAATCTTATACTATTGAGGGGAAGAAGGAGGATAGAATTCTTTGTATGAATCCTTATCTTATGAGAATGTTTTTTTATAATTGCCCTGCCTAGTGTTCTCTTATCCTCTTCAATGGTTTTGGATAAAATTCAGCCTCTTTCATTAAACTTAGATATAAACAAGAGGGATTGGAAAATTTAATTGACACATAATTTCTCTAGTGGAAGAAGAGATGAATAGAGCTCTCACCCAGGCATGTGGGGGGCGGGCACAGGGAGAAGGGGCCAGGGCCCAGATCATCCAAAAACTGTGTCACCAATCCCTAAATCCCCGAAAACTGACTCAGTGTCAAAAAAGGTATTGGTCTATAATATATCTATAGTTCAATTTTTTTTTTCAATAAATTGTAGATCACCTTAGAAAGCTGATATTTACTCCTGTTTTTTCTTTTCCATTTCCTAGAGAAGAAGACGATCCTTCCCACTGTGCCGTTCCTATCTCAACCTCCCTCATTAAGCAAATAGCCACTAAGATACACCCTGAAGGCACAGTTAATCAGATCCTTGACGAATTCTATGGGCCAGAAAAGTCCCTTCAACCCATGTGGCCCTATAATAAAAAGGATTCTGACAGGTAATGTTCTCCAGTAATCTTTTTCTACAAACACTTCTCAATATTAATAAATAAATGACCATTCACCAAAATGTTAGATACCATAAAAGAAGGTTTTTAAAGACTGATTGATTTGAGAGAGAGAGTGAGAGAGGGCAAGCAAGGGGAGGGGCAGAGGGAGAGGGAGAGAGAGAGAATCTCAAGCAGACTCCCCACTGAGCATGGAGCCTGACATGGGGCTCCATCCTAGGACTCTGAGATCATGACCTGAGCTGAAATTGAGTCAGCCACTTAACTGACTGAGCCACCAGGCGCCCCAAAAGGTGTTTTAAAAAGAAGATATTTGCATGCATATATCAGAATATGACCTTTTATCGTCTGGGTAGATGTATTTTATGGACTGCTTTACTCATAATCTAGAACATAATTGCATGAGAAGTTTCTCCTGAATGCAAATTCAGCATTGAATGATTCTGGTGTGAAGAGGTGTCATACAAGAGCATTGTGTGTCTGGAATCCTTAAACATATTTCATGAATACTGAAGTCATTGTATTTCATTGAGTCTCTTGGATGTGGTATTTGGAACAGGAATGAACAGCTGAGTCAGTGGGATAGCCCAATGCGAGTGAAGCTGTCAGTCTGGAAGCCATATGTTAGAACCTTGTTGGTAGAGCTTCTACCCTGGGCCCTGCTTATCAATCAGTCCAAGTGGGACCTCTGGCTGTTTGAAGGAGAGAAGATTGTTCTACAGGTTCCTGCTGGCAAAATTATTATCCCTCCTAATTTTCAGGTACTGTAACTTTTTTTTAGCTAATATGAATTCTTTTCTTTCAACAACTAGCCTTTATTCTGAGGTCGCATTTATATTCCTAACAGAATCAGTTGTAGAAAACTGTCCTCTTAGATGCATATGTAAGGGGTATGGAATGTTCTTTGATATTCAAAGACCTCTCAGATGTCTTTTTTTTTCCCCATCAGCAGTAGTCATGCTTGAGTTATCATTAAATTTGATAACTGTACTAGTTACAGTTTCATTTTCATTGTGTACAGGATATTTGACAAGCATTAGGATTGGCCTACTCAGGGTATGTTAAGGATATAGAGCCATATTCTCTGCTAACCCGCTCCCTAGGTAGACTGGTGGTTCTTACAGAAATTCTCAGAGATCTGCAAGGTGGGTAAAATTGAGGATTTCTGAGCAACTATTTCTATCAGGGCCCCTTTCCCCTTATAGGTGGACTTAGATGTCCATAATCATGGATGTCCACCCAATTGTTGATAATAACAATACGGAGTCATTACTCGCATTGGCGGGGGGCGGGGGGGGACCCTAATGTAAAACAGAATTTCACAGCGAGACTATATTCCATCACAAGAGAACTTTCTTGATAAGGCTAACCCATTTCAAGAAAGCACATAAATCTGTAAGAAAACAGAATGCAAGGAACTCCTAACTGTTTTCCTGGTGGGGAACAATTGGAGAGTCCTTTTTTTGAGCTCTAGTTCATGAACATCTTTATTCAATTGCATTTTTCCTGTGTGGTTTTTTTTTTTTTTAAATAATCAGATGATGTTACCTTATGGAATTGGAATGTTGACCTACATGTACCTAAGGTTGCATATTATTCTTTAGTCAAATGAAATGAAACCCTCCGTTTTTAAGTCTTTGTTATTTATAGGGGAGCCACAGTTTGGGTTGGGGTTTTTTTTTTCCTTCCATAAATATGAATTCCATTGTGAATCCAAGAAAACATTTCTCTGAGAACTAAAATAAAATGTATGTTGCCATTACAAAAACAAAAACAAAACTCACAAAGGGATTTGGTTGCCTAAGTAGACTTATTATATAATATAAAAAACTTCCTGTGAATTGAGGTAAAACTGTCAAAGTTAAGAAAAATACTTTATAATTGAGGCATTATTTTTCCAGGAGGCTTTTCAAATTGGAATATACTGGGCAAATACAAACACTGTGCACAAGTCAGTAGCGATTAAACTGGTCCATAACGTGACGTCTCCAAAGTGGAAGGATGGAGGTAATGGTGAGGTTGTATCATTGGACGAAGAAGGGTTTGTTGATGCTGAAATAAGACTTGGTGCTTTCCCAGGACATCAGAAGGTAGGATCAAAGTCTGTGTGGCTCAGGGGGAATAGCATGCCATCTCTTCAACCTGTTTAATATGAGTCTACCCTTTTCTTTTTAGTCCCTTTTTGGCATCACATGCTCTAGACAATTTATAACAGTGAAACATGTGATTTCTTAGACCTCTCTGTTTCACAGGGTTTTGTTTTTCTTTTCCTTTACCAGTGATAAAAGCCATGTCACATAATTTATCCAATAACCGCTCTGTTTCAGAACACTCAGCAGTCACTTGATTGATCGTATGTGGGTGAAAAAATGAACTTATTCCAAAATATCAACAAATTATGCTTGGCCTCCTTTTCTTAGAGCGGGAAGTAGAGTTGCTAACATTCTGAGCACTGAGTGAAAGGACAAACCTCCCATAGCAAAGGTTATGTTCCTGGAAAGGGCATCATGAGCAACATCAACTCTGATCCTCCCATAGAACCTAGGGTTATGAGGGAGTTCTGTTCCTGAACAGAGAAACGGTACCCAGGATGATATGAATACAGAAAACCTACTTCATCAGTTGATTTAACTAAATACAAATGGTGCATGATTTTCAGCATCAATCTTTTCTAAAGCCTATGAAAAGCAACTGAGTAATACAGTAGCAAATCACATTAACCTGTGTATACGGCAGCACAATATCATCGTGTCCCGTGTTGAGCTCTCACGCTGTACTTCATACTATCTTCGTTATCTTAACCCTCCCAAATCAGAAGAAGAAGGGCTACTTCATCAGAGTAGCACGATTCAGAATGACCCTTCTCTGAGGAGAAGTTAGATTTTGACAGGCATCTTTGAAGAGCTTCTTGAAAAAAAGTTAGTGTCATTTGGTAACTTTTTAAAAATAAATTTCTCTGATACAAAGAAGTTGGTTTCTCTTCGGTATTCAAGGCTGGTATCCATTTCCTCAGAGTTGTCTGGGCAACACATGTTTATGCACTGCTGGCCAAAAGACTGTAACATGGGTGTAAATGGCAAAGAGCTGTAAGCGTGAATCACCCAAAGCTGAAGACTTGGAAGTTGAGATCGACCATCAAAACCTGGAAAAGAATGTCACAGTACACAGTCTAACACCCAATACTTCCAGCACCTCACAAAGTGGCCACAGCAAGTGCTGAATAAATGTGAATGAATGAACAGACTGTTGGAAAATATATTATTATATATATTTGTAACTCCTTTTTCTTTCCTAGCGATTCTCAAACTTTTTAGTCCCAGGACCCCTTTACTCTCTCCAAAATCATTGCAGACCTCTAAAACCCTTTTGTTTATGTGGGTTTTAGCCATTGATACCCATCAAACTAGAAATCAATACAAAAACTTTAGAATGCAAGAAGACACAAACATACATTCTGTTTGCCATGACAGCAATCACATCATAGGTCGTATAACCCCTGGAAAACTCCACTGTACACTCATTAGAGAATTAGAGTGGAAAAGACAATAGCATCTTGGTATTATGATGAAAATAGTTTTGACCTTTGGACCCCCTAAAAGGATCTCAAAAGACTCCCCCACACACATACCAGGGTCCCAGGCCACGCTTTGAGAACTGCTATCCTGACATTACCACTTACTAAGTGGGGATCGTTAGGCAACGAGTATCTTCTCTGAACACCTGTCCCTCATAAAGCGCTGTAAGGGAATGAGAAGATATGTGGAGGTTAAGAGCAGTACCTTAGAATCAGACTGCATGGTTTCCAATCCCAACTGTCTTTATGACCGTGGGCAAGTTACTTAACCTCTTTAAGCCTCACTTCCCTCTTCCATAAAATGGGGCTAAGAATAGCTGCCCCATGTGGGTTTTGTGAGGATTCTGAGTTAACACGCATCAATACTGACAACAGGCAGCATGCAAGAAAGCAACATAGGAGGTCCAATCCTTGTTTTCTTTTGTTTTGTTTTATCGTCATCACTGTTAAAGTTCTCAGAACGCCCAGTGGTCCGCACTAGGCCTTTGGCAAGGTAGCTGCTGGGATGAGCATGAGGAAAAGGGGGAGGAATGCTTAACTGAATTCTTTATGTTGAAAAGATGAGTGACATCTGTTTACATAAAAGTGTTTATAAATAAATATTTTGTGAGGGAATTGGTTAAATAACTTGAAAACAAGTCTCTATCACTCTACCATAGCAGCAGAAATAACTGGTTCACTGGGATACCCTGTTGCAAATAGTGACCCCTTTTAGGGGCGGAGACATTTTTGAGACTGAGGGGGGACTCCGATAAATACTCTGGAACAAAAGGTAAAATTGGTACTATCCTGGGCAAACCGATAGATAAAATGGCCTTTTAAAAATAAGAAATTTTTATATGCCATATAATATTTTTTGCCTTAATGTATTTTATAAAAATTATTCTTTCCTCAATTGTCTTGCAGTTATGTCAATTCTGCATTTCCTCCATGGTACAGCAGGGCATACAAATTATTCAGATTGAAGACAAGACTATAATAATCAATAATATGCCATATCAAATATTCTTCAAACCACAGTTATCTGTCTCCAAACCCCACTCTGGAAAGGAGGTAAGCGGTTCATAACCTGACTGATTTGTCTTCAGTTTTGATACATTAGCAATAAGTAAGATTAATTTTTTAGCCTAGAAAAAATAAAAAAACTAACACCGAATACAGGTAAAAAGAAATTTACTTGTTACTGAATGAAAACCGTGGATGTCCTGGGCAGCGCTTCCGAGGTAATTAATGAGCAGAAATCCTACAAAAGCAGCGGATCCTGACACACGGCCGGATTAGTGCCTCCGGCACCCCATCTGCTCAGGGCTGCAGCACACACTTCTAGCACGCTTGCTAACCCAGAGCCCCAACAGCAGGGACACGAGCCTGAGGACCGGCCCCTGGGTCTCAGGGAAAAGAACATCTGCCTCCCAGGCTGCGGGCCGAGAGGAGCCATGTGGTCAGAAGGCTGGGACCCAGTGGAGCCAGGGATTTGGGAGCACTGAGTTCTCTGCCCACGAGGAGAGTAACTGTGAAAATGTACCAGCTCATTTATGTGGCCATCTCACTGGCAGAATATGCAGAAAATGAATCCAAGAAGGGTTTTTGATTCACTTCTTTATACAATTAAAATGATCACTTGTATTTTGAGGGAGAAATGAGATCTTTTCAAAGGACTTAAACACATAATATGCTAAGTGGTCTGCTGTTGTTTTATGCTATTGAAACTATCACACAGGAACCTATTTTCTTTCTTTACCTCTGTCTGCATTTATTTTTATCCCTTTCAGCTCCTAAAAATTACATTAGAACAGTAAAATGGGATGAAAGTCTTACTTTTCTAAGCTTACAGTGCATTATGGTATTTCCAAAAATGTCAGAATAGTAGAATTTCATCTTGGTTCATCAAAGTATTGATAGGATACGTGACCAGAAATACCCAGCTGGGACAGAGAGGTCAACAATGTTCGCATTTTAGGTGAGGATTTGGCCAGAGAATGAGCACGTGAGCGGATAATTCTCCTGCTTCTCCCCGCCTACAGTTTTCTGAGACACTGGGTCAGGGCTTTCCACGCTGACATTTCCTTATCTGAAAATAGGCATAATTTCACACTGCTTGCAGGTTTTGGGTGGCGACTAAATGAGGTAATATGAGTAAAAAGGCTCGACACCCAGGAAATGGTGGTAGCCAGCAGGAGCCACACCACCAGCATCGCAATGACCTGATTTGCCTCGGCTTCCTGGAGACCAGGGGAAGGCCCGCGTTCTTCTGGGCAGCTGAGGAGTGTCCCCTTTTTCAACCCCACCCTGCTTCAGGCAGGTGTGCGAACTTGCTTAAAGACACATGCTAACCCTAGCCTCTCAGGGGAGACCGTGTGGGACGGTGGGAAAACCACCAAACAGGAAGCAGGAAGCCGGGTGCTGGCAGGGCTTCGCTACTTCACCACCTCTGCGATGTTGGACAAGTCGTCAGCTCTCTGGGAAGCAGCTTCCTCAGATATGAAAGAGGAGTTTTAAATAAAGTATCTCTCAAGGTCCTTTTTAAGGCTGAAATCCCGAGACTCTCTACCGTGCCACAAACCCTGTGGAATTTCAACCGACGGTTGGGATCAGAGCTTCCTCCTCCCTCAGGATAAGCCTTCCACGAAAATTGTCTTCTATGCTCCCAGTCCATCAGCTCTCTTCTTCCCAAGGCCCCGCAGGGCTCAGGGCTCACCCTTTCGGTTCGGCCATCCCTATCCAAGAGGACCCCCTCCCCAACACGTGGCATGTCTACCCTTACGACATCTGGATTTTTGCAGTACCGGGGGGCCATTGAGGACTTTGCATCACCTTCTAAATCACCCAGGCCTTATCAAGTCTCATTATGTCTAGGAAAGCAGACCCTGCTCCCACTGCTTGTAATAGGCTCATTAGGGTTTTCTCGTGGGACTGGGATTCTAACATGCCTGTGACCCCCACCTGCCTACCTCCTGAGAATCCATGGTTATGGTTTCTTAGAAGCTGTGCCTTCAGGCACTTGGGTGGCTCAGTTGGTTAAGCGACTGCCTTCGGCTCAGGTCATGATCCTGGAGTCCCGGGATCGAGTCCCGCATCGGGCTCCCTGCTCAGC